CGCTGTTTCTGTTGTGCACACAGGTCTGTCAAATATGCTTTCACCGTATTGGGTATGGTATCTGCTCTGAGAAGGGAATCGCTGGAGCTACAGTCCAACTATACAGGCTTTCAAGAAACAGAGAGAAGCCATCATTGCAAGCTGATACCTGATGTGTACCGACAGAATTCTCTCGAGATATCTTACGGACTACGTCTGGTGTATACTTCATAGTACTCCTTCGAATACTGTCTAGAATCAAGTCGACTGAAACAAGTTCAAACAACTCTGGCTTCAAACGAGCCGCCGATTAGACAAACAAAACATTCTTTCATATACTAGAGCACGCTGACTACGCACGACCTATTCCTAACGATTGCCACCGCTTATAATTATGATGTAGAGTGCTGATTGGAATGTGCTCACAATCTCAACAATTCAGTGCTTTAATTATTTGAACAATGTGTTAGAAATTATTCCACTTTTCCTTCCATGAATGTTGTATCCACATATAATCCACAGGGCTGCAAAGTTTCAGAGTTCTCAGTGTATCCAACAAAATTATTTCAAATACAGTGAAATTGTTCGTGGACATTATAGCGTAACTTGTAGTTCCCTGGTGCTTTTCTTTGCTATAAATTAATCCTTTGCTCTCTAGCCGCCGGCCAATCTAAAAGTGAAATTGTTAGTTCATATTTATAATGTGAGTATGTGGGAGGGAGGTTGAACATATTTCTCTATAAGGGACCTGCAACTGTAATACCACAGTACAGTAGGCGGCAAATATGTAGAAAACAGAAATGCATGTTCCCATCATTGTACATGGATGGGCCCAGCAGGCCGAAGCTATCAGCCAGAACAGGATTTACAAGCACCTAGAGTTCTTGAGCTATTCCAGTATTCTCCGTGAGCTGTCCCATTCCACAATGGTTCGTGTCACCATTATTTCTGGTAGTATCCGTGTGCATAATTCCAAGACCATCTCGGATTCTTCAGCTATTTGTGCCTCGGCAAAAGACAAGGCTTGAGTCGGTCACTGGGGCTGTCAAACTTCCCACCACAAAGAACTTCAATTTCTCATCTGTTTCAAGTATATGTACTGACATGACTTGACCATGCTTCATCCACAGCTGGGCGAAGTTTGTGGCGTTGAATTCCACAGCGCACCTTCTTGCTGCCATGCATGAGTATGTTGAGAGAAGTGAACATATTTCTACTAAGAAACAACAGCCACTGAAGAGAATAGCAATAGCCTTGTGTGAATTTCCTGCAGGTACACGTTGTTGGTAGGTCTACTGGTCGGTCTCCATATCGTCAAGTTCAGAAATCACCCGTACTACACATCTTGTAGAAGGGATCTTGATCGAATACGTTTCTGGTCATAAAATTCACTAAACTCAGGGAGAGACAAATAGTCAGTACTCCCCGATTCCGTCAAGCTGGTTTGAAGTCTGGATGCTCATGTGATGCTAACAAGCTCCCCGTTGTTACTTCTAGCAGCTTCACTCTCCCTGCGACAGCGGCTATCAACCTCTCTCTCCATCGTTGACAATTATCACAGATTCAACATTCTACATTTATCAGCCCTGCACTGGGTGAATATGTCTCGAGACGAATTTAGCGGATCAGCAACGCTTAAAAGTAAAGTAAATTATCGTATCCGTTCCCGAAGGGAACTCACGACGGCCGCTAACACCCGATAAACCCTAGCGGCAGATGCAGCGCCTAACGGTGGGGGTGAGTGGGTAAGTCTCACAACCACTGGCACAAGTGCCGAAAGCGACCCCATTAGCTGCATCCATGTACCCCTTGTGCCTGGCCACAAGTTCCCAGTTGACTGTGGGTAGCAGCACGGCTGGAAAAACCGCTCCCAGGCAGGACTTGAACCAGGTACCTCTCGTATCTCAATCATGGTCTTTGACCAACCCACTGTGCCTGCCTGGTCAACAACGCTTTGCTGGAGATAAATTCTCCTCTGGAGGATCTTCAGGGTACCTGGAAGGGTATAGGAGACGGGATCGCTCACGACGTTGAGAGAACATAGAAAAAACCTCCTCTTCGATTGAAAATTGGCCAAAAAGTACGTGAAATGTATGTGCGCAGATGCATTTCCACTGGCAAGCTAATCCCTCATTACGTCATCAGCGCTCGCTCGGCGAAATTCAAAAGTCGTCTTCCTGCTCGACTCGATCGCTTCTGGAGACTCATTCTTGTTCGAGGGGTCTTCTCTTTCACCAACCTTCGTCTTGGCATCGAAAACTCGGCGTCGAAAATGAAGCCGGAGTGCCCCTTTAAACTGCTGGTGCCTTCCTTGTCGTATCCCCTGTGCTTGCTCCTCAACTTGTCGTATCGTGCAGGAGTCTTCCCATCTGCGTGGAAATCTGCAACGCTCCCAAGCTGTTAATTACAGGCCCATCTCCCTCCTACCGACTATATCTAAGGTCTAAGAACGCATCTTCTATGAATCTCTCTACCATCATGTCACCCCTGCCCTCTCCTCTGCACAATCCGGCTTCTGTCGTGGCGACTCAACTACTTTGCAATTGACACCCTTAATCCAGGATATTTACGGACATCGTAACCTGAAGAAGCATGTAGGTCTTGTCTTTTTTGATCTATCAAGAGCGTTTGACACAGTCTGGCATCGAGGCCTACTGGCTAAGCCCGAGTCTATTTTTCTAGTACGTGGTACAGCTCTGCAGTGGCTGTCGTCATGTTTGTCGTCCCGTCATCAAACTGTCCGTGTCTCTGTTTCCTTGTCCAATCATTTACATGTAGTGTCTGGTGTTCCACAGGGGTACCTACTGGGTCCACTCCTTTTCCTAACTTATGTGAACGATCCGCCCTCTCTAGTTCCAGACGTCAACCTTTTTCCTGATGACACTGCACTGTTGTGCTCTGACAGCTCGCCGTCCAACCTCGTTACCTCCAGGCAGACCGGCATTAACTCCACCATAGCCTGGATGGAAGCTTGGAAGCTGAGGCCCAATATATCAACGACTCGAAGACCGAAGCAATGTTCATCAGCCCATCGCCGCCCACTCAGCCGTTGCACTTTCCATGAGCCAATGCTAACGTTAAAATTGTTCATGAACACAAACACCTTGGTGTTATTTTCGACAGCCATCAAGCGACCTAGCTCCTCCCTTGGCATGTTGCAACCTCACTGCCACCATTTAAATGACCATTGCCGAAAATTGTTCTTTACGTCGTATATTCTACCGATATGTAGAGGATATAACCCGAGTCACAGGGTTATACCGGCTGAATATAAATCCCGACTGCGATAGCAGGAGGGATTTATATGAGGGTACGGTATAACCCGACTACGAGGGTCATATCCTACTTATGCCAGGTACCCCTACGCATTTCCAGAACAACGAACCTATTTGGAGATCTCCTACATCATGCAGTACATGAAAATCTTCTGGTGGTTATCAGTTGTCAGTTGATAGAATGGTCGAGCAAGGTCAGAAGGAGATTCCTCCGTGGATGTTTGGTATAAGATTTCCTTTCAGTTCCAGTGCATATTGTAGCATCTTCATGACCTTGTCTTGAGTCGTGAGCGGTGCGGAAGTCGACTGAATTGCTGCGGTGCTGGAGTTTGTCGTTGAATCAAACTACCATCACTAGTTAGATTACAGCTTGGACTCTTTGGGAGTAAGTGTTACTATAATTATGGTACAGTGCTGATTTTCACATGCGGCATCTCATAATCAGTTTTGCTTGCAAGTAGATGCATTTGCATACACTGTTTTGTATCACATTTCAATCCAATCTATTGTAGCCTTTTCCAATCGGGTTGAAGTACATGTACACTGGTATTATAAACTTATTTACGAAGGAGACAGTCCGTTGATGATCTTCAACTCTTCGAAGTACAATGTACATTGCTGACCCATTCGGGATACTTCGTGGTTATTCGACGTTCTTTATCCTCAGATTCAGTATAACAGAATACTCTGTAGACGAATTCCAGGTCATTCTTCTTTTCCATTGTGTACTGTTCCTCGTCAGTGTGCCGTTCTGTGTGGAGTGTACACGTGCATGTGGTGTCCGTTGTGTCTGTTTATGTATGGTCCGTGCGCTGGAGTACTGCCGCCGTACAAGTAATAGTTCACTGCCTTTCAGGCAGTGAACATATACGGTGGCAGTGCCCTAGCGTACGTACCATGCACCGGGATTTATATTCTATATAAATCCCGCGCGGGATTTATACTGGCCAATATAACCATGGCTAGACGAGCGCTGATTGGCTGAAAACAGGCCCTCCGTACCGTACCATGGTATAATGTGCCATTGCCGGATAATGATTTGGCCATAGTATAATTATCCATATAAAAATCGCTCTGTGAGCGGTTCTGAAAAACCTTTACTGGTACTGCCCCGTCGTAAAAGTAAGAAATTAGAACTGGAGCATTTTCCCCCCAAATGCGAACAGATCCACCTACATCGCGAATGACGGGACCCGAACGCACCAGTAGCACGAGGTCGGGAGGGCACAGGGTGACACCACCACTACAGTGCAGTACATTGCACATCGTATCAGTGGCAGTGTATTGCTAGTACACGTACAATTATCGACGACCATGGCCAACGTCCCCATCTGCATCCACAGCTAGGAACCTCGTGCTACTGGTGCGTTCGGGTCCCGTCATTCGCGATGTAGGTGGATCTGTTCGCATTTGGGGGGAAAATGCTCCAGTTCTAATTTCTTACTTTTACGACGGGGCAGTACCAGTAAAGGTTTTTCAGAACCGCTCACAGAGCGATTTTTATATGGATAATTTCAGTTCTTTTTCCGTTCCCTCCCCACCCCAACCCCGAAGGTGAACATGATGAGCACGCGCGCGATGTACTGTATGTAGCCATGAGACTGCAATAACACACTGATACATACCAGCCCTCCCCACCTCGCTACCCCGCACACAGATACACAAACACGCGGGTGCACACGGCACACGCATGTAGCCACGCACACATACACACATGCACACGACACAAACAGGAAATTCTTCATGTATAATGCCATGCAAAGCAGTGGCCACCGTACTTCAGGAAGTCAGATGTGAAACAAAATAATTCAACTACAGTCAACTTCGATAATAACGACTGCGGATATAACGACAATTCGCGAATAACGACAGAATTTCCATGCCCAGAGCAAAGTCCCATCCAACTGTAATACAATCATATAATGGGACTTCGGGTATAACGACACTTCGCGAATAAGGACACTTTTCTGATGCCCGGCCGATTGTCGTTATACGTGAAGTTGACTGTACAATGTGTAGACAAGCTGACGGCCAAAGCACAACATAGCAAACATGACATTTGCTCAAGGATTGCAGTTTGCAGACCACGCCATGGAAGCAGCGAATACAGATTGTAATATCATACAAAGTGACAAGCAAGGAAGTGGCCACCATACACCAGAAACTTGCAGAAAGTCACATATCCAACAGATAGAGAAGTGAACAGCAATCTGGTACAGCCCACACAAGACAAAGCTGACCTGATACTCGTCCCAGGATCGTAAGTGGCTGATCCTTTTCAATGCATAACATGCAGGTGTACGTTACACGCATGACAAAATCTGACCGTGTCGCCAGCACACAATGTCATCACAAGTATACCCCACAACTTACACACATGCACAGTAGAAGCACAATGAAAGCAATGGAAAAGTACGATGTGGTTGCTGAAGCATCTTCACACTTCAAATTCAGACTTCAATGTGGTCGTCACAGGATGATATACCTGCAAGATACAAGTGATGCAGAAAGAAAGCAGAAGGTCATGAGGTAGGCTATGAGACACGACAAACGGGTCACTTACATGTATGTTCAGGGCTAGTGCACTCACATGCAGAATTATCATATTCGAGCATTTCCCAAACTGAGAAGTGCAATGAAATCCACTTGCATGCAGAGGAGCAATTTTGCAGTGTGATGCGTAATTCGACACGATCTGCGATGCTGCGTGCGATGCAAACTCGCGCAAAATATCATTCACAGAATGACTGCAAGAGGTCAGCGATGCGACAACGCCCTGCTGACATGTGTCTCAAAGCTCAACAAGAACCTGCGTTTGTCACCATGGCACTCGCATAGCCGGTACAACTGGTACAAATGTGGAAGCAATTCATGAGTTTTTCGTCTCGCCTCCTCAGATAACCACTGCAAGGCTGCGACGACAACCTTCGGCCTGACAAGGTGCGTCCAGACAATCTTCGCAAGATGTTTAGACAAGGTGCTTACAGACAATCTTCGCACTGGTTGGTACACAGTTCACTATGATGTTTGTATTGTCAGCACACAAGTCATGCATGAGATGCGGGTTGTCGTCAATTGGCAATGGAAGGTGGAGTATTTTGTTCGTGGCACCTCACTCGCTTTGAATGCGGTCGACTGACATGCTTTGTGTCTAGCTTGTAACATGTCTGGAAGGGTTCCACTTTTTGAATGAGTAATTTTTCGAATGAATTTAGTCGCGACAAGCACTGGGGTACAGGGTGAAGGTGCAAGTCATTGAGAACGCAAGATGGCGGCGTGCTCTCTTTCTTCACGTACAGTTTGCAAACCCTGCAAATGAACATGGCGTCTGTAGCGTGCGACTGTACACCATTATTAACTATTGGCAAGATATACACACACACCTTAAACGTAACGAACTACAAGAATAGAGTGAGTACAGTGCGCTGTCGACCTGATAACGTGTTGGAAGATAACAGGTATACCGCCGGTCCCACCGTAGGTCTACCCTTCATCATTCCTCATTCACCATCGCGCGATATCATGGCACACACTGGCAACATATCAAGGGATGCCTTACCGTCGCCTATAGGGGACGTCTTCGCAGCAATGTTTTTCGTCCTGCGCATACAGTCCGCCGACGCGACAGAGTTTACGGGCCCGTTCCAGTTGTAGAAGACATTCGATTCATCGGGCCAGTGCAGCAACATGGCCGTGGGCACACAGGGGCAGAGGAAAGACATTGTGAGTGGACAAGAAATATGCAGTGGCAAGTACCATGAATGTCAAGTTCTCATTTCTAATTGAGCTATTACTTACAGTGCTGCCATTGCTCGCTCGTCCTGATTCCTCCTCGTTCGTCTGTGTCCACTTCTGCCGTTCTCCTCCCCGTCACAGCGTCAGGTCAGTGCATTCTCATTAATTTCTCAATGGCACTTTTCGGGACGGGGTACGATGCGGCCAAAGGCCTAGAGCGGACGTCTTTGCAGCAATATTTTTCGTCGGCGGACGGGACAGCGTTTACGGGGCCGTTCCAGTTGCAGAAGACATTCATCAATGACACTTTGCGGTACGGGGGTACCGGAAGGAGTTCGCACCATGTCTCCAAAGGCCTAGAACGGACGTCTCTGCAGCAATATATTTCGTCCTGCGCATTCAGCCCGCCGACGCGACAGCGTTTACGGGGTCGTTCCACTTGCAAAAGACATTCATCGATCATCAATGGCACTTTGCGGTACGGGGGTGCCGGAAGGAGTTCCCACTATGTCTCCAAAGGCCTAGAGCGGAGGTCTTTGCAGCAATTCTTTTTGCCCTGCGCATTCAGTCCGCCTACGCGACAGCGTTTCCGGGGCGTTCCAGGTGCAGAAGACATTCATCAATGGCACTTTGCGGTACGGGGTACGGAAAGGGGCCTCCTTGTTCCACTTCGTCGACTTCTGCAGTTCTCCTTCCCGTGAGGGGTACCGAAAGGGGCCTCCTCGTTCGTCTTCGTCGACTTCTGCATTGCACATTGGCACAAAGCAGACCGCTGACAGGGTTACGTGTCAACAAAATAACAACAACGTGTCGACCACGTGTATAGCGGTACACTCAGCGGTACACTAATTCTCGTGCCATTCTCGTGTCACAAAACTGGAACATCGAGTACCAGTATGGAAAGGCTTCAGACAGGAAGCCTTTCCAATGTGCCATTGCCGGATAAGGATTTGGCCATAGTATGATGTGCCATTGCCGGACAAAGTAATCAGTAGTGCATGTATACCACGACTGTGCATGCTGCTTTAAGTTGATCTTGCTCTGTTTCTTGACATGGAGTCTGTGTGAGAGTTGCTCAGGCAGACAACCACAGAGCTCTACAACCAGTACTTGGTTTGGCGTGCCGTCATTCGGCACAAGCAACAATATCTAACAAAATAGACGCCCAGAGTTTGGAAACTGTAGGTGTTTTACAACTTTGAAGAGTGAGACTAGATCGTCTGAGATATCATGTTTGTGTGCAATAGGAAAGATGGGTTAGGCCTGAGCATTGATTACAATACCAAGTATGTATAAACTGGTGGTGATGGGATTGGTCATAGGTAACTATTGAGTGACAGTTGTCTTACTTGACACAGCAGCCAACATAACATTGGTCTCTGGGTTACTATAACTCATTTAATCAAGACGGTTAAATGCACTTTTGAGATGTTAGAAACCAGGAGGGTGTGTGGAGCGGGAACAGGCACTATTCAAAAGAAGACTGCATGCAGTGCTTTGGAAAGAATTTCTGTTCTGTTGGGTTGTGATGTCGATAGGGAGTGAGTTGTAGAGGGTGAGGGAGCTGTTGATGGGGGAATATCGGTTCCTGTTTGTGCGTGCCAGTCTTGTGCAGTAGGTCCTTGTCTATCAAAGGGTATAAGTTTGGTGATGACGTTGCGGTGCAAGATGTGGTTGTTGCGAGTGTGGTGGGGAGGTGTGGTGGTGGATGTCTCATGCTGGTAGGGCTTGCTTAATAAGGAGTCGTGACCTAAGGGTTTGAAGCTGAGCATGAGGGAGGGGGGAACTGTGGTGAACGGCTGCAAAAAGGGGAAACCGAAGGCAGATGCGTATAGAATGACGCTGAATTCTCTCCAGTGTGTCCCACTGTTGCTGTGCCATATCCAAGAACGGATCGGATGTGTGTTGTGTATATTATGAATAACCTGCAAACTTCCATTGTGCCACCTGACCTGTGGAGTTGTAGTAGTGTTTTTTTGGCTCTGTTGATAGTGCCTATAGTGGTTGACCTGCAGCAGCAGAGTCACGTGGTGTGTGATATGGATGCTGTGGTGGGGTTGGAAGGAAAGGACAACGGGTTACGTGGTGTTGGCCAGGAGATGACAATCCTTCAACCATCGTCCTGCTAAGCGGCACGTTGGAGGAATGCAGGAGATAGGTCCCTCGTGTAGTGTGTTGCAATGGGTGCCGTGTCATCGGCCAACTGACTGCATTTGGTGCGCAAGTCTGTACATGCTGGGGGGGGGGGGGGGGGAGGTCGATCGTATACACCAGGAACCCAAGACGCAGTAGGACAGAGCCCTGGGGTACTCCAGCTGGAATGGATTCACACGACCACAAAGCGGAACCAACCTTGACGCATTGTCGGCGGCGAGTCGGGTAGCGTGTGAACCAGTTCAGGGCAATGCCACGGACACCAAGGTGCTTGAGTTTGGTCAGGAGGTCAGCATGCCAGACACGGTCAAAAGTCTTTGACCAATCAAAGACGCACGCCAAGACTGCCTGACTGGGTGAAGGGTACAGTTTGTGTATAGTCAATTGAGGTTATCAGATTTCTTTTGGTTATGCAGTGATGGACACGCTCAAGCAGCACTGCCAACTCGAGCTGTATTCTTAGCACCCAAAGGGGCCGAGGGACAGAGTGAGACAATTCTGCTCTGGGATTTCAATGACAAAGAGAAGCCTCAGCACCGCTTCATCCCATATATTTGAAAATTCCTCTGATTGGTTTGCGGTAGTCCAGCATACTTACCTTTCTTCTGAAGCCAATAAAAAGTGAAGAATTCTCATTCTTGTGATTTCAGCATCCTGTCCCCTGTTAGATTCCTCTCTTGGTTATGATTACAATGCTTCATTCTCCAATGCCTATGGAACTGTTTTGGGTATTTCATGTCGTGCTGGCTTTACTGTGGATGCTAGTATGAGTTCCATTGACACAATAACATGTCAAGCTAATAGAATGTGGACACCTCTTCCGACTTGCACAGGTATGTATGTACAGTAATATACATGTCCTTTGTACCTCTGGAACACCGTCGGGTCTAGATTACCAACAAGTACACACACACATACACACACACATACACATACACATACACATACATGCACACACAAACATACACACACGCACACACACACACACACACACACACACACACACACACACACACACACACACCTTACTTCCTTCCTTCCTTCTACAACTGCCATGACTGGCTATGTGGCCCCATACGGGGCAGACCAGCAGACGTGTTGTCCACCGGGCGGGGAACGCCATACTCAGCGCGCGCGCGGGCCGCGCGAACAGCGTTACACTTGTGCCTCGCAATATCCTGCGGCCGACAAAAACTGCGGGCACAAGTGTCACAGATGAGGGGCTTCGCCACAGGCTCCATTCGGGACTGGACAATAGCGTCGACAGCATCACGGCAGGTGACCCACCATCCCTGTCGATCTTGGATGATGTCACCAAGCTGCTCCAGGGGAACGCCTACAGCCATCAAGCTGCACTTTGCGGAGTCCTTCCAGCGCTTGCGGGGTCCATGCGGTGGACGTTTGGAGGATAACGCGCCATACAGCAGCTGATGAGGGATCCGATCTTGCATGCGGGACACGTGGCCAAGCCATCGAAGTCGGCGGACTCTAACTTTATCCGCGATCTCCTCCATATCGCCCACATCCTGCGAACCTGGAGAGAGGAGATGTGCTCCTCGATCTGCCGGCCACGATTTATCTTCAGGACGGAGCGCACGCACTGCAGGTGAAAGGACTCCAGGCGACGGACATCACGCTGCCTGACGGTCAAACTCTCAGATCCATAAAGAAGGACCGCCAGGACAGTCACTCCATACACAATGCGCTTGATGGCGATGCTGAAGTCATCACTGTCGAACACCGACTCCCGCAGTGTACAGAACGCACCCGATGCAGCAGCAACTCGCCGAGACACATCAAATGAGCTCCGGGCGTCTGGCGTAACATGACAACCGAGGTAACACACACACAAACACACACACGCACACACGCACACACACACTTACATACACACACACACATACATACACACACACAGAGTACACACACACACACACAAACATACACACACACAGTACACACACACACACATACACACATACACACACACACACACACGTAAAGTTAATAGTACACTGTGTTAAGATTCTGCCAGGAATGCTGTCATTTTTAATGGGCTTGGTAGTCAGTCAATGCTGAACGAGGTTAATGGGCTGATCACAGTTTTGATGACAAGAGAGGCATGGTTGGTGGTGGTGGAGCTGGTTATGTGCAAGCAGCTGGCAGGGCTAGCATTGGCAGAGTCTGACATTGTCGTTGTAATGTGGTGGTTTACCCTCCAATGTGCATATTTGTAGGCATGCTGATTGTGCATGCGGTTGTTTCAACTGGGAGCTGAGGTGCATTATCTGCTGTTTTGCATGGTAAAGTTCTGTGTGTAGTTTTCACATCTCTGCCTGCAATACCTTGTTTTATAGACAAACTGTGTGAAGCTTTGACATGCACACCATATTGATACTGGCCTCGGACAGTTCTTTTTTGGATGTACCAACTGCTCCACCACATTACTCAAGTAACGTCTTTTGCATTACTACAGGAATACAGTGCTTTTCACCCTAAGCTGGGCTTCCGCAGCAGTTGGACAATATTGCGTTGGCCTCCATTCATTAGCTTGCCTGTTCTTCTAAGAAAATCAATCCTTCTTTTTTCTACAGACGTGGATGAGTGTTTGACCAAGTGTTCCGACAGCAGTATTTCTCAGTGCCAGAACACTATGGGAAGTTTTACATGTACATGTAACATGGGATACAGGTTTAATGGAACCAACTGCATTGGTAAGCGTGTAACTCTTTTGAATGTCTTTAACGTGCATGCGTTTGACACTCCCCCCCCCCCCTCCCACCCCCGT